TCTAATTTAGTCGAATACTCTTATTAACGGTGTAATGTGCATACAGTTTCATGCATAGCTTATATATTTATATGATTTTATTGTATATAATACTCCTCTTTTCCTATTTTTAAGATATAGAGAAAATTCTTGTTTGATCTTATTTATAAGATGTATTATTAAATTTTTCATATGAAGGTACAATTTTTTTTTTGCAAACGATTTTATTTTATTTGTCATTTATTATTGTGTAGATTTTATTCTTATATGGTATAATGTATATAAAAAAGGAACAAAATTGAAAATTTATTAAATTTTAAGATAAAGTTAATAGTATTTTTAGTTTTTAATATAAGAATTAGATAACTAATTTGTGAATATTAAAAAATTAGTTAAGTTAATCATTTGTAATCATATATTTTCTTGCCTAAATATTCTAGTTAATCATGTGCATTGGAGTCGCTTTATCAGGGAATCTTTAATATATACAATCATGATAAGAACTATTTTAAAAAAATAGATAAATATGATAAATAAAAAGATTGTGGTCTTATATTTATAATCAAATTAAATCTACAATTAGTTTTTATATTAAAGATCGAAAGTGGTATTTAAGGTTTTTTAATCTCAATGAAACATGTTAAATATGATTTATAAATAAGATCCAAGACTACATATGTCGGAATAAACTTTAAAATAAATTGAGCTTCAAAATTTTGACCTCTTAATTAAAATATTTCGAATTTAAGGTTTAATAGGAAATTAAGTACATGATTCATGTAATGTAACGTGTTTATACTTACGCGCGCAAATATCAATTTACGAATTTTTGAGACAAATTTTTCAATTTTAGTTTTGGATGTGTGAAGTCTTCAAATTTTGTCGGCTTCAACAGTTTCCGATGGAATCTTAGAAATTCACCACTTGACACGCATATAACGGACATTGACCCGTAAACCTTGGTGGACATACGTGTTATTTGAAAAAACTTGTTTCTCGATAATTTCTTTAAATTTATGTTTTCGCCTCCCTTTATTTCTTTAAACAGAATTTGGGTCTTTGGTACTACAATACAATACATTGTTGTATGTAAATAACTAAAATGTGACAGTATAGTTATTGAAAAAAATTTAGAATTTTAGGGTTAAAATTGATGTGAGGATTTTCAGCCATACATTGATAATAAACCATTAGTAAGGGTCTCCAAATCAGGAGAAAACATTTTCACTAGCTTTTCTCTTCATTTTCTTTTCACTTAATATCTCTGCTATTATATTAACTTTCAATGGTTGAAATTCGAAACTATATAAAAACATTATTATAATATTAAATATTATAAAAAAATTTAGCATTGCAAACTATTCACATCAAATTTTAATACTATAAATTTATCTATCTATTTTATTATTTAATATTTAATATTATAATAACATTTTTACTGAATAAATGTCACATGTTAAAGTGAAGAGGGAAATTAGTGAAGATGTTCCGCTTCCAAACCTTTGTGATATGGGGTCAACCCGACATATTGAAGGGAAGAATTTGTGTGATAAGGAGTCAACTCAAATGGGTCAAGAAGATAATTTAATATTTCATTTTCTTAGAATTTATTTGGCTCTAAATTTATTTTCTTTGTTTCATTTTCATTTCAGTCATAATTAATTGGCAAAGTCAAGTCTTCTGCCCCGTTCGGAATGCTAATGGAAGACTAATCTGTAAATGAGAACTTTGTAGTGGGTTTATTATAGTGATATAATCATTATTCCCCATTTCTCATTGTTTCAAATGTTTTTTTTTATTTAATAATAGGGGCATAAACATTAACTCTTATCAAATACATCTATAATTTCTTTGTAAAATTGGGTCAAAGTCTCCAATTGAAAATTTTATTAGTGAAAAAGACTTAAATGAAAGTACTGATATTTTGTATGTACAGAAGTTGCAAAGTAAAAAATATCGGTACTTTTTATGTGTAAAAATTTATTACGTTTTTCACACAAATAAAATTTTAAATGGAGGATTTTTTTTCCCGAATTTTCTCATACTTCTATGGGTATTATTTTGCAACGTGTATTGCAAGGTATATTCAGAGGGAGAAGAGAAGTCTTACTTTCTCTATCGCCATGTGGATAGCCAGCCAATAACAAGAAATTTATAACCTGTTTAACGGTTTAAGGGCAGAGGAAGCAACTAAAATGAGTGAATAAGATAATTTAATATTATTTTTTATTTGTTAACAATTTACTTGGTTGTGGGTTTTCTTTGATTATTTTTCATTTCAATCACATTACAAAAGGTTAGTCTTCTCTAGCAAAAACACAAAAAGGCCAAAAAGGCAAGTCTTCTTTCCCGTTTGGTACGCTTGTGGAAAAGTGATCCGTAACTGAAAACTTTTTAGGGCACATATTTATTATATATATATTGATATAATCATTATTCCCTATTTTTCATTGTTTTAAATGATTTTTTCTAAATAGGCGCATAAGCATTAAAATTTATCAAACAAAATTATTTTTTTCATTTTCCCTTTTAATTTATAATATCAAACATATGGTATACTATTTCTGTGTGTACATACTCAAAATGAAAATTTTAGGACAAAAATGAATTAATCGCAACTGAACAATGAAGGACCATTTTGAAGCTTCTCACTTCCATACCTTTTAGCACACCATTCAAACAATGCCAAAAAAAAATTTTCTGACATAAAAATAATGCCAAAATTTTTTTTTTTTGATAGTATGGTAATCTCTTATATTTCTCCCACACCTCTAGTATTCAAATCCTGATTCTTAATATTAGATCTAATTAACTTATTTGAGGATCAAGAAAGTTAATCAATTACCTTAATGTATTTATCTTTATCAAATTTCTTCAAACTAATTTGTCACTTTTATAAATTAATATATAATCTAATAGTATACATAAATATTTTAGAGAGATCATGTAACATGTAAGTATGTAACTGGTCTTATATTAAGGATTGTGGTAGTAATTTTTAAATTTTATGACTTTTTCTGAAGAATATGTTATAAGGTCTCTCATATTTCACTTTATTCAAGTTCTTAATTAACTGAATCTTTTTTTGATTTTAGCATAAAATATAATTATCAAATTGAAAATTGACCGGCCTCACAAAATTCCATATTTCTTGACTAAATTAGTGATTACTAAAGTATATATGAACACTAATTTTCAAAATATTTTCACCACAAATTTTCAGAAAGGTTTATTCAACGTTGAGTCAATCACGCTTGGCGTGTTGCCAAGAGCATTTGTTTAGCCATTTCTAGGTCTTTTATTTAAATCTAAGTGAATGTTTGAATTAATTTATTCTAAGTGATTTTATATTTACAAAATAAGTATATGAGAAGAATATTTGTCGTAAAATGTAAAATTGCTTTTTTTTTTTGGTTTAATTCTCTTAATAAGTCTTTCATTTCTTTTAACGTCAAAAGAAACATAACCTTTTTTTTTTGTAGCCACTTGAGTATGCTCTAAACTCTACCCCCTCTTCCGGTCAAAAAAAAAAAAAACTCTACCCCCTCTCGATATATACAATATAATGAATTTATTTTTATTTTCCTTAATTATAAATATGAAAAAATGACCTAAAAAGGATTATAGAATTTGAAATGACAAAATAGGCATGCAAATATATGAAATAACCAAATGGTCATGAGGTATCAATATGAAATTTTAACAATTCGCTAGAAAGACTAAAATGCCCCTGACACGTATTTGGAGCCAATTTCACTACTCCAGTAATGATAATGATAACATTTGTAATGTAAATTACAATTTTTGTAATGAGAGTTACAATCTCACTATTGCCATTTGCAGCTCATTTCTTTCAAACCCAAGTAACATGTATTTGGAGCCAATTTCACTACCCAGATAATAGTAATAACAATATTTGTAATGTGAATTATAACTTTTATAATGAAAGTTACCATTTCGCTATTATCATTTACAACTCGTTTCTTTCAAACCCAAGTAACATGTATTTGGAGCCAATTTCACTAGCTTGGCAATGGTAGTGATAATATTTGTAATGTGAATTACAACTTTCGTATTGAAAGTTACCACCTATTCATGTATTCAGAGAGATTCAGGGGCATTTTAGTCTTTCTACTAAATTGTCAAAATTCCAGATTGATAACTCATGCCCATTTGGTTATTTCATATATTTGCATGTCCATTTTATCATTTCAAATTTCAACAGTCATTTTTTGGTCATTTTTCCTGTAAATATTTTCATTCCATTTAAAAGATGCACATATTTTTATTTTCCTTAATTATAAATACTTCCATTCCGTTTAAAAGATATACGTAAGCCTTCTCTAAAATTAAAATCGTGTGGCACAAAATTTTCTTTTATTTTTAATATTTCATATTCATTCATCATGACAGTACCATTAATTATGGGTCATTAAATAATATATATATATTTTTTTTTTTGCAAAAATAGTTCTTCCAGTAACTTCTAAGTGCAGGCCCTTACCATGGGAATATTATTCCATATCAAAGCCATAATGCAAAGAAATATTCTATTACGCGTCGGTGCTACAGTGATCTTATTAGCAAATCTATTTGTCACGGCCAACGCGTCAGTGAATCTATATATTATGCGTTAAATAATAGAAATCGAAACCTTGACCTGTAATTCTGTTATGGTAGAAAAAAAGGCTTATAATTCTATTTACAATTAGGAATTATAAGAATTAAATACACAGTGCACCAAAATTAATTTGTGTATTTTACATGCCCATGGTCTATATACTGAAGCCAACCAGTTGTTAAGGGCAACAATAATTCATGTTAGTTTTTTTTTAATAAATTCTGATTATGTTTTAGTTCCTATCAAATTCCTCAATCCAAGTTGGAAGAAGAAATTGACTTGAGGCGGCCATTATTATGACAAACCTTTTATCATGCGTAGCTCTGCCTATAAAAGAAGCCTCATTTGTTAGATACCATATCCTTTACTCCTTCAAATTCATAGCCTTCTAACTTCGCTCATGGCATTTCGAATCATCATCTGTTTCTATTTGTTCCTTCTTTCTCCTTCCCTTTCTTCTTCTCTCAACCACCCATTATGTAATTCTCATGATTCTGTTGCGCTTCTTCATTTTAAAAACTCTCTCTCTCTTGATCGTTCTGCTTCAATGGACTGTGATGAGTTTGATGATGATGTTGGCTACGCCTATATTCAATTTACTAAGAACTCATCTTACCCAAAGACGGCTTCGTGGGGAAATGATTCAAACTGCTGCTTGTGGGATGGGATCATGTGTGACTCCTTGTCTGGTCATGTGATTGGCCTTGATCTTAGTTGTAGTTGGCTCCAAGGTCAACTCCATCCTAACAGTAGCCTCTTCCAACTTTCTCGTCTCCAAACACTCAACTTGGCTTACAACAATTTTAGTGGGTCTTTGATATCATCTCATTTTGGTGGTCTTTCCACTCTCATGCATCTAAACTTAAGCTACTCTTATTTTGTTGGTGAAATTCCCCCTAAAATTGCAGAATTGTCTAAGTTGGTCTCTCTTGATTTGTCTAATAATGGATTTGCCTCATATTATGAACAGTTAAGTTTAAGATTTGAACCATCCACTTGGGCGAAGCTGGTTCTAAACATGAGTGATCTAAGAGAACTTGTTTTAGATGATGTAGATATGTCTTCCATTGCACTAGGCTCCTCGTCTTTGAAGTCGCTTAACATTTTGAGTCTTGAAGGTTGCAAATTTGATGGGCCTATTCCTGCAAGTTTTGGGAACCTCACTCAATTAACTGATTTGAAAATTGCAGAAAACAATTTTAGTGGTGAGCTTTCATTTCTTTCAAATCTTCAAAGTCTCACTTCATTGGACCTCAGTGACAATTATTTTAGTGGTCTCTTACCAAATTCCATAGGCCATTTGAAGTCTCTTGATTTTTTGGGTCTTGGGCATAACCAATTTGAAGGGCCTATTCCTGTAAGTTTGAGAACCTCACTCGATTAACTTATTTGGACCTTGTAGCTAACAGTTTTAGTGGTCTCTTACCAAATTCCATAGGCCATTTGAAGTCTCTTGATTTTTTGGTTCTTGGGCATAACCAATTTGAAGGGCCTATTCCTGTAAGTTTTGAGAACCTCACTCGATTAACTTATTTGGACCTTGAATTGAACGATTTTAGTCGTGAGCTCTCATTTCTTCCAAATATGCCAAGTCTCACTTCATTGGACCTCAGTGGCAATTATTTTAGTGGTTTGTTACCAAATGTGTTTGGAAATCTTTCAAATTTGGAATTTCTTGATTTCTCTAACAACAAGCTACAAGGTAATTTTCCGGAGTCAATTTTTACCCTTATAAATCTTTCTAGTTTGGAACTATCATCAAATAACTTGAGTGGCTCTGTTAATTTTTACCAGTTTTCCAAGTTTCAAAATCTAAAATATCTTGATCTTTCAAGCAACAAGTTTCTCTCACTTACCTCTGATAATAATCTTAACTACACCATTCCCAGTCTTTTAGGCTTATATTTAGATTCTTGTCATATCACTATCTTTCCAAAATGCGTAGGCCTTTCAAATTTGCAGCGGTTATACCTTGATGATAATATGTTGCAAGGTCTTCCTGATTCGATTTTTAGTTTCCTAAATCTTTCTGTTCTAAGTCTATCATCAAATAATTTGACAGGCCCTCTTAGTCTTCATCAATTCTCAAAGCTTCAAAATCTAGAATATCTTGATCTTTCAAACAACAAGTTTCTCTCACTTAGCTCTGATAATAATGTTCACTATATCCTTCCCAATCTTACAAGCTTAAGCTTATCCTCTTGCAACATTAGTGACTTTCCCGAAGTACTAGAAAATCTTCAAAATTTGAATTTCTTAAATCTTTCAAATAACAAAATCCATGGAGATATTCCCCAATGGTTCAATAATGTGGGGAATGGTTCTTTGGAGACTTTGGATCTCTCTCATAATAACTTGACTTCAGCTAAACATCTTTCAATGAGAAACTTGACTTTTCTTGGTCTCAGTTTCAACTTGTTGCAAGGAAATCTCCCAATTCCATCCTTTGGTGCTGAATTCTTTTTAGTGTCCAACAACAAATTCAATGGACACATTTCTTCCTCATTTTGCAATGCAAGCTCACTTGAGATACTCAATTTATCTCACAACAACTTGTCAGGCCACATCCCAGAGTGCCTTGTTGCTCTCCCAAATCTAATGAGTTTAGATCTGCAGATGAATAATTTTGTCGGATCTATACCAGACAATTTTTCTAAGAGCAATTCTTTGCAATCTTTGCATTTGAACAACAATCAATTTGAGGGATGGTTGCCTTTGTCTTTGACCCATTGCAAACAATTAGAAATTTTAGATGTGGGGGCAAACAAGATCAACGACAAATTTCCTAATTGGTTGGAAGGCTTACCGGAGCTACAGGTACTCATTTTAAGAGATAATGAGTTCTACGGTGCCATTCATAGTTCTGACACCAAACATCCTTTTCCCATGTTAAGAATTTTTGATGTTGCCAACAACAATTTCAGAGGATCTTTGCCAACAACATATATCAAGGAATTTAAAGGAATGATGAATGTTGACTTTGTTTCAGCCAAACTAGATTACTTGGGAAACCGTTATCAATCTTATTATCAAGAATCAGTGATGGTCACATTGAAAGGTGTTGATTTGGAGTTGGTAAAGATCTTAACTACATTCACAACCATTGACTTCTCAAATAACATGCTTGCTGGAGAGATTCCACATGTTATTGGTGAGCTGCATTCACTAAAAGGCCTCAATCTCTCGCACAACAAAATCACTGGTCCTATTCCTCAGTCCATTGCAAATTTGACAAATCTAGAATGGCTAGATTTATCATCAAACATACTTATGGGTGAGATTCCTCTTGTACTAGCAAATCTCAACTTTCTTGAAGTTTTGAATCTTTCACTGAATCAGCTTGTCGGAGAAATACCAAGAGGTAAGCAGTTTGATACATTTTCACAAGATTCCTTTGAGGGAAATTTAGGATTGTGTGGATTTCAATTGTCAAAAGCATGTAATCATGATGAAAGGAAATTGCCACAACCAACTTCATCAAGTAATGACAAATTTGGATTTGGTTGGAAACCAGTGGCTTTGGGATATGGATGTGGGATGGTGTTTGGAATATTGATGGGTCAAGTTGCTTTCTTAACTGGAAAACCTAAAGAGCTTGTCAGAATTTTTCAAGCTAGGCCTAAGAAACAAGCAAAAAGGACAAGGAAAGGAGCTCATCCGAATTAGAGAATAGTGAATTAGGCACAAAAGGTGGCTTCTTGTGATATATTGTGTCATCTTTTTTTTTTCTTTCATGTTTCCTCTATGGTTCTTGTTCTTACTTCATGCTTCTTAAATATCTTGTCAGTGATTGGAATGTAATGTACCGTATATTTCAATGTAAGGTATTGTCTTCCTTTTTTTTAATGAATTTCAAGTGATTTGTATACTATGTACTGTTTGATCATCATATGAATAAAATTTTCCACATATTAGCAACCTTTTTTCTTTTTGGTACACACATGTCATCAACTTATATTATTTGGAAATTAGTTACCAACCATTCAACCTTACTTGTTTACGTAAGGATTTAAAGAAACTTATAGTTTGTTCGTTTCTTTAATTTAAAGTTCTATTAAAGGGTTTTAGCTTTTTATAAAAATGTGAAAATTACTCTTTACTTTGAGACTTTATGATCGATACATGATCGTTCAAAATGATGGTGCAAACCAGAGTTTGACATAAGCAAAATGATTTTATTCCAACTCTTAACAATTTCTCTCTCTCACTCCCCCCCGCTCTCTCTCTAGGGCCAAACTCTTAAGATTGAAAATATGACAATGCAAAACACCAGCGTGAATTACTTTATTACTTAGCAGTTAACATTCATCTAGGCTCGTCAAGTGATTTATGAATAATATCCTATCATGAAAATGTTGGGCGTAAAAGCATTTTAGCTCTTCAACAATACATGTGACCCCTTTTCCAACCGAAAAAAAAATGTGACCCCTTTTTCCGAAGTTCATAAATTCTTCTTCTTGTTTTGTTTTTTAATGGCTAGTTTTGTCTTTGACTGTTTCATTTGACATCATTAAAATCCAATAAAAATAAAAGTCAATGAAATATTGATTTATGAATGTTTGAGACAAATTGTTCAATTTTAGTTTTGGATTTGTGAAGTCTTCAAATTTTGTCGGCTGCAACAGTTTCCAATGGAATCTTAGAAATTCACCACTTGACACGCCTATAATGGACATTGACCCATAAACCTTGGTGGACATACGTCTTATTTGAAAAAACTTGTTTCTCGATAATTTCTTTAAATTTATGTTTTCGCCTCCCTTTATTTCTTTAAACAGAATTTGGGTCTTTCATACCACAATACAATACATTGTTGTATGTAAATAACTAAAATGTAACAGTATAGTTATTGAAAAAAATTTAGAATTTTAGGGTTAAAATTGATGTGAGGATTTTCAGCCATACGTTGATCATAAAGCATTAGTAAGGGTCTCCAAATGGTGAGAAAAATGTTTTCACTAACTTTTCTCTTCATTTTCTTTCCACTTAATATCTTTACCATTATATTAACTTTTAATGGTTGAAATTCGAAACTATATAAGAATATTATTATAATATTAAATATAACAAAAAATGTACAATTGCAAACTATTCACATCAAGTTTTAATACTATAAATTTATCTATCTATTTTATTGTTTAATATTTAATATTATAATAACATTTTTTACTGAATAAATCTCACCTGTTAAAATGAGGAGGGAAATTAGTGAAAATGTTCCGGTTCCAAACCTTTGCGACATGAGATCAACCCGACATATTGAAGAGAAGAATTTGTGTCATAACTCATAAGGAGTCAACCCAAACGAGTCAAGAAGATAATTTAATATTTCATTTTCTAAGAATTTATTTGGCTCTACATTAATTTTCTTTCTTTCATTTTCATTTCAATCATAATTAATTAGCAAAGGCACTGCCCCGTTTGGTACGCTAATGGAAGACTACTCTGTAAATGAGAACTTTGTATTGGGTTGTTATAGTGATATAATCATTATTCCCCACTTCTCATTGTTTCAAATATTTTTTTCTTTATAAATAGGGGCATAAACATTAAATCTTATTAAGTAAAATTATTATTTTTTAATTTCCCCCCTTCATTTCTAATATCAAATACATCTATAATTTCTTTGTAAAATTGGGTCAAAGTCTCCAATTGAAAATTTTATCAGTGAAAAAGACTTAAATGAAAGTACCGATATTTGTATGTATATAATTTGCAAAGTAAAAAATATCGGTACTTTTTGTGCATAAAAATTTATTACGTTTTTCACACAAATAAAATGTTAAATGGAGGGTTTTTCCCCCCCTAATTTTCTCATACTTGTATGGGTATTATTTTGTAACATGTATTGTAAGGTATACTCAGAGGGAGGAGAAAAGTCTTACTTTCTCTATTAGCATATGGATATCTAGCCAACAACAAGAAATTTATAACTTGTTTAACGGTTTGAGCAGCATTGAAGTTAGAACCATTCAAGTCCAATTGATGATAAAGAGTTAGTGAGGGTTGGGGAAGCAACTAAAATGAGGGGACAAGATAATTTAATATTGTTTTTTATTTGTTAACAATTTACTTGGCTGTGGGTTTTCTTCAATTATTTTTCATTTTAGTCGCATCGCAAAAGGCAGGTCTTCGTTACCCCAAAAAAGGCAAGTCTTCTTCCCCGTTTGGTACGCTTATGGAAAAATAATCCGCAATTGAAAACCTTTTAGGGCACATATTTGTTATATATATATTGATATAATTATTCCCTATTTTTCATTGTTTTAAATGATTTTTTCTATATGGGAGAATAAGCATTAAATTTTATCAAACAAAATTATTTTTTCATTTTCCCTTTTAATTTATAATATCAAACATATGGTATACTATTTGTGTGTGTATATACTCAAAATAAAAATTCTGGGACAAAAATTAATGGCAGCTGGACAATGAAGGACATTTTGAAGTTTCTCACTTCCAAACCTTTTAGCACGTCATTCAAATAAAGCCGAAAAAAAATCTGACAAAAAAATAATGCCAATTTTTTTTGGATAATATGGTAATCTCTTATATTTCTCCCACCCTCCTTGTATTCAAATACTACCTCTGATCCTTAATATAAGATCTAATTAACTTATTTGAGGAAATTAAGAAAGTTAATAAATTATCTTAATATATTTATATTTATCTTTTTACTTTTAGAAATTAATATATAATCTAATGATATACATAATTATTTTAAAGAAATTATGTAACATGTAATTATGTAACTGAGTCTCATGTTAAGGATCAGGACAGTAATTTTGAAATTTAATTACTTTTTCAAAAGAGTATGTTATATAAGGTCTCTCATATTTCACTTTGTAGTTCTTGATTGAAACTGTTTTTGATTTTAGCATAAAATATAATTATCAAATTGAAAATTGACGGACATCACAAAATTTCATATTTCTTGACTATATTAGTAATTATTAAATTATATATGAACACTAATTTTCAAAACTTTTCACCACAAATTTTTGGAAAAGTTTAATCAACGTTCGTTCAGTCAAACACGTTCGACGTGTTGCTAGGACCATTTGTTTAGTCAAGTGAATATTTGAATTAATTTATTTTAAGTGATTTTATATTTTCAAAATAAGTATATGAGAGGAATATACTGCTGTAAAATGTAAAATAGATTTTTTCAGTTAATTATCTTAATAAGTCTTTCATTATTTTTTTAATGTCCAAGGAAACGTAACTTTTTTTTTGGTAGCCTCTACCCCTCTCTCGATATATATGATATAATAGACTCATTTTTATTTTCCTTAATTATAAAAATTTCTATTCCATTTAAAAGATATACGGACCACGTAAGCCTTCTGTAAAATTAAAATTAGGTTGCGCAAATTTTTCTTTTATTTGTAATATTTCATTTTCATTGACCGTGACAGTACTATTGATTATTAGTCAATAAATAAAATAGTTTAATTATTTTTTGCAAAAATATATTTTTTTTAATAACTTGCTAGTATGCAGGCCCTCACATTGGGAATATTATTTTATATTAAAGCTATAATACAAAGAAATATTATATTATGAGTAAGGGCTACAGTGATGTTATCAGCAAATCTGTTTGTCATGGCCAACATGTCAGTGAATGTATTACGCGTTAAATAATAGAAATCAAAACCTTGACTTATAATTCTGTTATGGTAGGGGGAAAAAAGGCTTATAATACTATTTACAATTAGGAATTATAAGAATTAAATACACAGTGCACTAAAATTAATTTGTGTTCATAAGCCCATGGTTTATATACTAAAGCCAGTCAGTTTTTAATGGCGACAATAATTCATGTTAGTTTTTTCTTTAATCAATTCTGATTATATTTTAGTTCCCATCAAAATTCTTCAATCCAAGTTGGAAGAAGAAAGTGACTTAAGCTAGCGATTATTAGGACAAAACTTTTATCATGCGTTGCTCTGCCTATAAAAGAAGCCTCATCTGTCACATGCCATATCCTTCACTCCTTTATATTCATAGCCTTCTAACTTCGCTCATGGCATTTTGAATCATCATCTGTTTCTACTTGTTCCTTCTTTCTCCTTTTCTTTCTTCTTCTCTCAACCCCCCATTATGTAATTCTCATGATTCCATTGCGCTTCTTCATTTTAAAAACTCTCTCTCTTTTGATGATTCTGCTTCAAGGGAGTGTGACAAGTTTTATGATGATGACAGCTACACCTATTTTAAGATCCCAAAGACAGCTTCATGGAGAAATGATTCAAACTGTTGCTTGTGGGATGGGATCACGTGTGACTCCATGTCTAGTCATGTGATTAGCCTTGACCTTAGCTGTAGTTGGCTCCAAGGTCAACTCTATCCGAACAATAGCCTCTTCCAACTTTCTCGTCTCCAAACACTCAACTTGGCTCACAATTATTTTAGGGGGTCTTTGATATCATCTCATTTTGGTGGTCTTTCCACTCTCACGCATCTAAACTTAAGCCGTTCTGTTTTTGGTGGTAAAATTTCTCCTAAAATTGTGGAGTTGTCTAAGTTGGTCTCTCTTGATTTGTCTAATAATGGATTGTTAAGACTTGAACCATCCACTTGGGAGAAGCTTGCTCTAAACATGAGTGATCTAAGAGAACTTGTTTTAGATGATATAGAAATGTCTTCCTTCGCACCAGGCTTCT